GTGTAGTTGCACAACATTTTCTTGCAAATGTATTGCCATGCCCTTGTTTGTCCTCTACTGCAGCAAAAGGAGCAGTTTGCAGGAAGACATGGCCAATCGGCTATCTTCAGTGCCGATCGGCTAACAATCTTTGGCCGATGGTTTAGAAAGTGGTCGATGGCCCCTTTCCCTTAGCCGATGGCCATATATTTTGGCCGATGGCCTCTCAAAGTGTCCACAAGGTGGTTCAGAAGCATCACAGAATTTTCACAGTTTTTAGAAGTCAAAAACAGTGCAAACAGAGGCAACATGAGGCATGGCAACGGATTTCCGAGCAAAGCCGACCAAGCATGCATCTCTTCCGCGCCTGCAAGGCCATTTCAGTATTCATGATTAGTTAGTGTAATTTAATCATTTAATTGGTTTTGTAATATTCATTTAGCTTAGTGTAGCTATTTGTTCCAATTTGGATTGTAATAATTAATTAGCTTGTTAGTTAATTAGTTTTGGTGTTGTAATAATTAGTCTAATTAGATTATTAGATCAGTTAGGATAGCTTAGCGTAGCTAGCTTGTATTATTTATTCGGACCCTCCCGTCGAGAGGGCGAATTTTGTAATAAGTGTGCGTGAGTGTGTGAATGTCTTCCAATCCTACGTGTTTCTCCCTTTTACTTAACCGCTTACAATGGTTAGTTTTAGGTCATGTTTCAATTAGCATCCTTATGCTATGCATGTTTGCATCATTCATCTGTCTTGCATGCACTGGGCTCGGCGCATCGTACTAACTGTATTGTATTTCAATTCCTACTTGAATACATGATTATCAAGTTGCATTTCATTTGCCATTTTAGAATAGCCGAGCCTATTTCTAGTTGCATTTTGCATGTGTTGCATTAGCCATCTTAACATAGCTAGGATCATGCATTGATTACTAACTAGTTATTGTTTTGGCTCGGAGTACTAGGTAAGCTTTTATGCTTTAGTATCTTGCATGAGTGTGAGTGTTAACATGACAGCATGCTTGCCATGAGGCTAACTGCTTATGTGTTAAACTGCCTGAATGCCTGTGGGTGAAGGTTAGATTGCTTGAATTGGAACAATTCATTGAAATATGAGTTATAAGCCCACTTGAGGGTGGCAAATCATGTTTTCTAAACCCACTCGAGGGTGGCAAATTCATGTCTTAGCCTACTTGCGAGTAGCACCTTCAAACCATTTTCAAACAAACAAACATGAAATGTTTTGTTCCAATTTAGGCGATCTAGTCTATACTTGTGTGTTGTGCGCATCGCATAGTAATTATAGGCTAATAACCGGAATAAGAATGCATGTGTTTTCAAAAACAAGATATCATGTTAGTAAAGGCCGATCTTTGATCGGGCGAGCGGGGGTGCTCATTGCATGACCTTCCCCTCTCGTACCCAAGTTCCCGAGTCGAGGCAACTTTGGTGATGACGGACACGTGGCCTTAGACACGAGTCGGGGTTTTCTAAATTTTCCCAAAATAAAGCATTTAGGTGGCGACTCTATATCTGGCAAAGCAGTCCATGTTTGGCACTTCTTTATAAAAATCAGTTTTTCAAAACGATTTGCTGGATTTGGACTCTTTGGTGATATGTCGGTCTTGCATTGCACTTTGCGGGATTAGATTCAGAACCGTGACATTTGAGTCCGAACTGTAGCAGCCCGATGAACAAAATGAGATTTTTCCGGGATGTTTGGGCACGTCTACACACGTATGCGTCGTCACCGTCCTGTCGTGACTGAGGATGCCCCTCCATTGGTCAGATGTTCCCCTCATCGCTCAATTTCAGAGGAGGAGCACTATCTTGGTGACGAGGTTATCGGTGCTCATCGTTCTGATGTTGAGATTATTGATGGTACTGATGCCACAGAAATTGATGCCGCAGGCCATGCTTCTAGAAGCAATGTAGAGATGAGGTGCACCTCTGGGAATGGTGTGGAGGTGGATGTACTTGAAATCTCTGAGACTCGCTCTGGCACTTATGGTGATTCTCATCCTCCGGCCTTCCTTCCTTTTTCAGGGATGACAACTACTGTTTAGGCTTCATTAGACATTGAGATCGATCAGGTGCTCCCTGTATGGCCAAGTGACTTTGTTGATGCTAGGAGCCTTTCAGTTGCTTCGGCTTTGCATAATGATTCTCCCTCTGGTAATCTTTCTTTCTGAAGTTTGTCATATACTTCTATTTGTGAGAAATCTTTACTCAAATGGCTTTGCTGTTCCCTACCCCTAATAAGACTTTCTTATCTTTTCTTCAGTGTTAGTTGCTACCGGGGTCTTGCCTTCACTTGTCTCGGACTCTGCTCCGACTATCTTTGTGACTCCTCATGGTTCTCCTTCTCAAGGGGAGACATCTGCCTTTGAGACGACTGCTAGAGGTTCTTCATCGCAAGTGCCTTCGAATGTTTTGGATCTGAATCTTAGTGATTTCCACTTTGATAATGATGTTTTTGGTCATTCTCCTTATCGCTCCGCATTCTCAGGCTCGGGACCTCTGCCGGAAGTTATCTCTCTGGGTGGTTCATCTAACCCGATATACATTGGGGAGATTCCTGAGACTAGTAGCTTTTTGGCCCCAATTCCTCCTTCAGTTTCTGGCAAAGTATCATTTCTCCATTATTGGGTAGCTCTTGAGTTTGTTTCAGTTCTACAGCTTGTGCATTCGAGTTACCCTGAGACCTTTGCTTCATTTGCTTGTCAATGTCTACTCATTCAGATTGCTCTTCTCGAGTCTTTTGCCACTATCTTATATAGCTTGGATAGACAACGGTTGTGTGACCTTAATGGGAAAGTAGTTGAGACAGCGTATCAGGGAATCTCTGACATGGAGCGTCACCAAGTGGATTTATCATGGCTTTGGAAGCGCCTGGATATAGCTTCGAACGCCAGTCATCAGGTGGAAATTTTGTCTGTGCTTGCCTCTTATTGGACCTCTATAGATGAGACAAAGGCAACTCTTCGTGAACTTGAGTCGAGCTATGTTCGGGGCTTGGAGACTTTAGAGGCGGCACACTTTACTATTTGTCCTCCGGATGTAGATGTGACGGACAGCTTCTTCGAGGGTGTTTTTAGGAGAGATTGAGTTTTTTTTTTTTTTTGCCCCTTTTGATAAAAATTTTTTATCTAGGACAATGCAATGAAATGACAAAATCTTTGCTGTTTGGAGATTTTTGCATTGTTTTCTTATTCTACTTAATAAAATATTTATTTCGAATGATACAATGGAAAGGACAATCATATGCAGATGTTTATAAAAGCTGAAATATTATCATTAATTTTTCAACTTTCTTGACAAAAGTATAATATATTCACTGCAAGTGATGGGATAAACATACTCCATAAAGAAAACCAGCTTCTTCATAACGTAAGGGAAATACAACTTTTAGACAAAGTAAGAAAATGAAAATGAATTTCAACATAGATGAGTCTATCTACGGGTAGTAACGCTTGATAAACTTTGCATTGAGCGGGCCAGTTCAGAAGCCATCTTCAACCCTTATAAGCTGTAGTACCCGCTTGAGCTTGCCTAAACCACCTTGTAGGGCCCTTCCCATTTTGGAGAAAACTTGGCCAAGGGTTGTCCTCGCATGATTGGGTCTACAATCTTCTATACTAGATCACCTTCTTCGAACTTTCTTGGCACCACAGTCTGATTATAGGCTCGGGCGATGGACTCATGATATCTTTCCATGACTTTTGCAGCTCTGTCATGCTTTTCCTCTAATGTTTCCAATCTGGTGGTTCGAGGCTCCAGTACTATCCCCGAGGCGAGAGCCATCCGAGCAGATGGTGTTTTCAACTCTATAGGTAACACTACCTCAGACCCATGCATAAGGGAGTAAGGAGTTGCTTGAGTTGGCTTTCTCTTTGAAGTGCGATACACCCATAGGGCTACTATCAACTGTTCGGACCAAGTCTCCCCAAATTCATCCATCATCTTGCTTAGAATCCTTATCAGTGTCTTGTTTATGGCCTCCGCTTGCCCGTTCCCTTTTGGATAGTAGGGTGTGGATTTGTGATGCTTCACTTGGTGAGTCTCTAGGAGGCTCTTCACATATTTGTTTAAGAAGGGTGTGCCGTTGTCCGAGAGGATGGTGTTCGGCACTCCGAACCGGCAAGTGATATTTTCCTTGATGAAGTTCGCGACTGCGGGCCCCGTAGGGTTCTTCAGAGGGATTGCTTCGACCCACTTTGTACTCAATTCTGTAGTTGCGAGAATCCACTTGTACCCCGTAGAAGGTGTAGAGATGGGCCCTATCAGATCAAAAATCCAGGTATGGAACGCCATGGCGTTCGGATGCTATGCAGGTCTATAGCTGGAGCATGGATCAAATTTCCATGTTTCTGACAAGTCTAGCACCTTTTCACGTGATGAAACGCATCTAACTCCATGGTCGGCCAATAATACCCAAGGTGTATAAGTTGCTCGAACAGCCGAGCCCCTCATTGATGCTCAATTTCATGGGCTTTTCTGAGGACTAGATCCGACTCTTCCTTGGAGAGACACCTCATGGGAGTGCCCTCGATGCTTCTTCTGTAAAGCCTATTCTGATCAAGAAAGTACCGCCTTGCTCTCCTCTTAAGGCGTGCAATGTCCCTCGGGTTCTCAGGTAGTGTCCCTTCCTTGAGATAGTTAATGTAGACTTGTCTCCAGTCAGGGGTATCAATTTCAAAGCAACCCTCATCCTCCCGGATGCATGACTGACACTTGGGGCATTCTTTTTGTAGTTGATTCGAGGCCTTCTCCATCTCGGGTCAATAATAGCCTTGTCTTTGGATCCTTCTGTACAGACTGATATCCCCATCCCCGCAGGACTTTTCATGGATCTGTTGTAGTCGGAAGCTTGCTTCTTGTTGGCCAACACATCGGGCTAGGAATCCGGTTCCTCCTCGAAAGTAAAGTTCACCTTGAATTATTATGAATTGGGCAAGCTTGGCCATAGTCAGTTTTCCAACTTTGCTTCTGAGTTATTTGAGGACTTCTCCTCTCTAGTCCTCCGGAAGGTCTTTGTCCTCGGGTATTATTGAAGGCTTTGTTCTCTTCTTGATAACAATTGTCGCCTCTTTCTCTAGAATGTCAACTCTTGCCCCTAATGTTGCGAGGGCATCTGAAAACTTGTTGTCGGAGTGAGGCAGATGCTCTATTTCGACCTTCTGAAATTTGTCAAGAAGCCTTTGGACTGTTGTTCGATATGTGGCCAAGGCAAGCTCCTTTAAGATGAACTGTCCTGAAACTTGCTTCACTATTATCAGAGGCCAAGTTAGGATTGTGTAAAATACCGTTTAATTCGTTAAAATCGCATCGATCTATATCAATTTATACTACCCTATCTGTTAACTACGGTTTAAACTTTAAAATTTATAATCTGTCTTCGAAATCGCTCCGCTCTGTTATAGTTAATACATATATTTTTTTTACTTCCAATGAAATATCAATGTAAAAATGAGTGTGAGAGAGATTTAAGATATGAAATTTATTACAAATTAGTGGTTGTATATATAGAACATATTATGTAAAATTACTTTGTGTCATATATCTAAAAAATATTATACAAATTAGTGTTATATATTATGCAAATATATGATAATTAGTTAGAATATTCTTTAATCTGCCAAAAATCGCCCAAATCGCAATTTGTTAATTCGCTAATCCACTAAACTGCCATTCGGTTTGTAATTTTCCTCTCAAACTGCCCGAACCGCACCGCGCACACCCCTAGTTTTGAGTCCCCCCGAATCTGAATCTTCTTGATACTGTGTTTCTCAGCTGCTATCAGACCTAAAATAAGAGCCTCATACTCGGCTTCATTATTCGAACAATGGAAATCCAGTTTATAAGACAAATATAACTTTTCCCCACTTTTGCTTGTAAGGACTATCTCGGTTCCTCCTTTCCCTCCGGCTGCTGCTCCGTCAAAGCTCAATGTCCAAAAGCTTTCCTCGGAAGCCATAGCTGCATGCACTTCTCCTCTTAATTCTTCATTCACTGGTTCATAGTTACCACTTGGAAATTGGGCAAGGAAATCGGCTAAGGCTTGGCTTTTGATTGCTTTGGGAGCTACGCATGTGATCTCGAATTCACCCAGTGCTAACAACCATCTTGCCACCTTCCCGGTTAGAGCAGGCTTGCTGAGGAGGTATCGGATTGGGTCACTTCTAGTAACAATCTGATTCTGATGTGTTAAGAAGTAATGTCTGAGCTTTTGGGCGGTGAATACCAAAGCTAAACAATGTCTCTCTACCGGAGTATATTGGACTTCTGCTCCTCGAATCCTCCGGCTGATGTAATACACCGGACGTTCTCCTCCATCTACATCTTGGACCAATAATGCCCCTATGGACTTAGGGGTTGAGGTTAGGTACAACATTAGAGGCACCCCAGGCTGCGGGGCTATCATGGTCTGAGGCGAGGTCAAGGTCGCCTTGATTCCCTCGAAGGCCTTTTGGTGCTCTTGGGTCCACTCGAACTTGGCATCTCTTTTTAACAAAGAGCCGAAGGGGGAAGAGATCTCTGCAAGTGCTGGGATAAACCTCTGAATATAAGACACTTTCCCGAGGAACTTCTTTAACTCCTTTTGAAAATGCGGGAAAGGTATTGCTCTGAGAGACTTGACCTTGTCTTCATCTGCCTCGATACCATGTCTATGTACAAGAAAACCGAGAAACTTCCCAGCCGTCACCCCAAAAGCACATTTGAGAGAATTCATCCTCATTTTGAATTTCTAGCACCTCTTGAATACTTTCTCAAGGTCTTGGAGATGGTCCTCTTCTTTCTTGGATTTCACCACTAGATCATCTACATAATCTTCCACCTCATGATGGATCATGTCATGAAAGATTGCAGTCATAGCCCTTTGGTAAGTTGCTCCGGCATTCTTGAGTCCGAAAGGCATGACTATATAAAAGAAGTTTTCGAGAGGTGTTCTAAAAGCAGTCTTTTCTGCGTCCTCTTCAGCCATCTTAATTTGATTGTATCCGCTGAATCCATCCATGAATGAGAACATCTGGTGTCCCGAGGTGGCATCCACGAGGGTGTCGATGTGAGGTAAGGAGAATTCATCCTTCGTGCAAGATTTATTCAAATCTTGAAAGTCTACACATACTCTAATTTGACTATTCTTCTTCTTCACTGGCACTATGTTTGCCAACTACGTGGGGTACTGTATTGGCCGGATGAAACCTACCTGTTGAAGTTTTTCAATCTCCTCCTTAATCTTCTCTTCGAGATCTGGATGATATTTTCGAGTAGCTTGCTTGATTGGCTTGGAGTTTGGGAACACATCAAGATAATGGGAGACTAGGTCAGGATCTAGTCCGAGCATTTCTTTATATGACCAAGCAAACACATCTGAGTACCGGCTTATCAATTTTAACAACTGTTCCCCGCTTCTCTGGGCTAAGGCTCAAACTTATGAATATCGGCCTTGGTGCATCTTGTCCATCACTCAGATCTATTTCAATAAGTTGTTCGGGCTAAGGCTTCGGCCCATCTTGCATGCATTCTGGAGCCACTTCAGGCTTTATTATTATGTCATTGTCAGGAGACTCTTCTTTTGACTCGGAGTTGGTGACTGAAGAAACCGACTCCCCGCACCTTTACAAATAGTACACCATCTTGCCCCCTTCTCGGACTTTCATCACCTTCCGAGGAATAAGTGGACTTTCTGGTCGAGACATCACCCGTTTACTTGATTCTGCCCTTGGCTCCTTGTCATCTTTGATATCCTCCTAACGAGGAATTTTGACCCCCCGAGGCTTAGAGGTGGTGGGAATTTCTTCGACAGCCAATTCGGTGAAGTAGATGGCATCAGAATAATGAGTTTCATGGGTCTCGAAATACCTTTCTGTAGCCTGAATTGTCACCGCCTTCTTTCCCCATTTAGCCTTAACACATTGATGATAACTCAATGGTACAACCCCATATCTATGCATCCAGGTCCTCCCTAGAATGATGTGATAATTTGCCTCAGAATCGATAATATGGAACTTGGTGGCCGAGCGAATCTCTTCGACGGCTAAATAAACTGTTACATATCCTATAGTAACTCTCCTTTCTCCACCAAAGCCAGTGATGACTATCGGCTGCATCACGGTGCACTCTTTAGAGATTCCAGCCTTCTCTAGAGTAGCGCGAGTCATAATGTTGATAGAGGCTCCGCTGTCCAGAAAGGCCCTTTTAAACTCAACCCTGTTAATAAAAGCAGTCACATAAAGCGGGCGATTGTGAGAAAAATGATACTTCCGATCAGCCTTGGAGAAAGTAATGGCACTAGATTGCCCTTTTGCCTTCCTCGGGATAGATCCCTCAGTCGACATGCATTCCTCATGGTGTGCCTCGGCTATATTAATGATAGACTTGGTGATTTCTGTTCTTGCCTCCCTAGAAAGTCCAAGCTGGTCGAAGAATTACTTGAACTTTACACAGCCTTGCAGGGTTTTGGCATAGTGATCTGGATCTTTTTCCACTCTTGGAGGCTCGTAGTTAACCATCTCCTTAGTCTCTTCAAAATAAGATGCCACATAAACATGGTGTCCTCCTATTCCGTAGTACTCTTCTCCTCCTTCTCGATCAAAGGGATCTTCCATATGAGTCACAAAGGTTCTGCCCTCTGGATCGAGAGCACTTCCATAGTAAACTTGCTCACCCTCGGGCTCGAGGATGTCGTCCAGATAACAATCATCGTCATCGAGATTGGCAATAGCCTTAATCATCGGGCCTTCATAAGCTATCATAGCAACATTCTTGCCCTTGTCTCGGTGCTGGGGATATGGTTGTTCTTGGATATCTTGAGTCCCTTGCTTTTTGAACCTCAATTCGTCTGCCTCAACTTTATCTCTGAAGATTTTCCTAAGAGTCCAACACTTCTCTGTCGGATGTTTTAATGTGAGATGATAGACGCAAAATTTGGGGCTCTGGCGGTCCTTCTTTGATGGCCTTTCTTCGACATAAGGCAATTTTAGCTCTCCGTCGGCCACTCATTCCTTAACTAGAGCTTTTACCTGCTCGATTCCACATGGATAAGAAACATTGCCCTTTTCACCATTATATTGCTTCATCTTCTGGCCTCTATGACCCCCTCCTTATGACTTTCGAGTATCTGGGGCAGAGGCAGCAACAATAATAGGTCCACGAGACGATTTGAAGCTAGTGTTGTAACTGGCCTTAAATCCGGATTCCTGAGCCTGAAGAGTGCTAATGTTCTGAGCTGCTTCTATTAGTGTCGAGAAGGTGGGTAGCTTGTGATTAACTAGAAACATTTTGTACCTGCTCAATGGCCTCTGTAGACAGATTTGAACCAGATAACTCTCCTCCATTGCTTCATGGCAATCCACAGCCTTGTCCAGAAACCTTTTGACGTAGTCAAGGATGTCTTCACCTTCTTGCTGCTTTTGTTTACACAATGTAAGTGTGGTCACCTTCTCCGCCACTTGAAAGAACTTGGAGTGGAATTTGTTAACCATTTCCTCCCAACTTTGGACAGAGTTTGGTGCCAAATTAACATACCAACTATATGCTCGGTCAGTGAGGGACTTAGAGAATTCTCTCAGCCGGAGGATGTGGTTTGAACCATGAATACCCAGAGTCTCGATGAATCGCACAACATGTTCTTGAGCATTTCCTTGTTTGCCATCAAATTTGATAAACTTCGACACTGTGTACCCCTCAGGGTATGGATAACTCAGCATCTCAATAAGGTAAGGCGGCTTGACATCTGGATCAGGCAAAGAGGGTAAAGTCCTCTTGCCCCGTTCGAGATCGAACATGGCTTGTACATTGGCGAGAGTGAGAAACTGTTGAGGGAGAGAGTTTACTGGTGGTATTCCCAGAACTTGGATTATGGAGCCGAAGATTGAGCTAGGGGCGACTTGGCAATTATGGTGTTGAGAATTCATCATTAGTGAAGACACTTGACGATACTGGCCATCAGTGCCTATGGACAAGCCAGTTAGTGATGGGAAATTGAATTGAGGCCCGTAAAGTCCACCGCACGGCGCAACTATACCAGGTTGAGCTTGCAAATTTGTTGTCAGCACCAAATGAGGCCCGCTTGGTGCTTGAGTAACATTTACTGGTGGCATAACAAGATTAAGTATGGGCAGAGCTCCCTTTTGCGCCATTATGCTCCTTATATTTGCCTGGACACCAACAGTCACCTGAGCGCCGTTCATTACACCAGAACCTCCCCTAGTCACCATTGGATCTTGGCTTGGCGCGCCATGGAGCCTAGGCGTGGGCAAACTACTGCTGCCTACTGTGGTTTGAGCATGTGTTACCGTGGCCGTATTGCCATGAGCCATAGGCTGACTAGGGCCTACTTCTCCTTGGATTTGATTTTGCACTCCGGCGGGAATAACTCCACCACCAGTTTGATTTCCGTTTGGCGATGGTGCAAAATTAGAACTCATCACCAACATGCTGTGAGTGAGATTCTGAAGAGTGCTAAGAATCTCTTGCTGAGGATTTTGAAGTCCTTGAATGGGTTCGACCAAAAGTGGTTGATCTAGAGCCATGGTCCTATCATTACCACCGTTAGAGGATCCTTGTTGGTGAACATCTCCTTCTCCCGCCATCTTCGCTGGAGTTGTGTGGGTTCCAGATCTCATTGAGACCATTAACCAATCCGCCTCCCCAACAGAGTCGCCAAATGTATGAGAGGGTTCAAGAACATCGTTGGAAAATTCGAAGATCTTCGAAGACCCTTGAAGAAAAACTTTGAATTCTCTAGAAGATGATGAGAGGCTTAGATTTTTGAATAGTCTCAACTAAGAACACAAAAAAAAAGGAGATGATGGAGATAAGAGATTGGGTGAAGAAGAAGACAAAGTAATTAAAGAGAGAATAATGGCAAGGCTCTCCCATGGATCTCCCACTTTCACTCTCAAGATTGATAATGGAGAAGGGAAATTAGTTCTTTCCCAAGAGTTTTCTCTCCAAAATCCATCCCTTGTAAAACTATGGGTGGGTGCTATTTATAGGCACCTCATGATGTAGGATGGAGCCCATGTGCAAGGCACATAGGGAATATTCTCTCTAACCACCTTGTCCGAGGAGGTGACCTCTCCGACGATGAGAAAAAAAAAAAAAAAACCTTCGAAGAGGAGATCAACCTTTCGACGAACCCTTCTTCTTAACCACACCTAGCCAATGATCCCCAATCATCCCAATGGGCCAAGGTAGTCCTAGAGGACCCATTGCCACTAAATATTGCTGAATCTCATGGACCCCCCGGGGTCGTGCCACCACGACCCGGGTATAGGCTAGTTTAACCGAAGAGTGAATTTATCTTCACTCACCGTCCTCGGGATCGGGTCCTTTGTTCGAACTCCATTACACCCATGATTCTGGTACATAGATCCTGGAAAGCTCCGAGCCCACAAGTGTTCTGGGACTCACCAA